TATCTGTAAATGCATCAGACAACAAACACATTGTCTTTCTCAGTAGCCTTAAAATTTCCCAAAAGGGGCAGTCCTGAAAGCATTTTGGCATCTGCAAAACGTCCAACAACCCAGCACCATAGTTTCTTGCCATTCTTTTCTTGTTTGTTGTTCAGGTCAAGAGCTTCGGATGGAGGGCACCAGGAGTCCTCCTTCAGGGCAAGCACTCTTATTACATTCCTGCAGAATGGAAGATTTTAATGTGCATGGTGATGTTACAGAACCGCTGTACGATGAGGCAATAATACCTTGGTAATGTCATATGCGGATGACCCAAGAATTTCTCTCTAGAAGATCATCAGAAGTACATAAAGCAGAATTCTAACTACCCACCATTAGATCCCAGGTTAATAAACAAAGGATAGAAAACTTTTATTCAAGACAAACAGGTGTTCTATAAACACACACAGAAGGCTGAGCCTGTAATCTGAAAAATTAACACAGGGTCAAAATAGAGATTAGTGCAATGCATGTTCCACAAGATTAACCTGCTTTTCCTCCAACAACTGGTTTCTTCAGAGATGCATGCAAATTAAGTCCATGTCTGTCTTCCAGTGTCCAATCAAAAACCCGAACACAGTAAAGCCACCCAGAGTAGATTCGTTTGAATCTAGATGGGCAGGGTAAAAGCCAAACAAACAAACAAACAAACAAACAAATGCATCTTTCTTCAGTGAGGCAGCACTTCTTAAAATGTCCTAAGCATCTACAGTGGTGCCTCGCAAGACAATGTTAATTCGTTCCACGAAAAACACTGTCTTGCGAAACCATTGTCTTGCGAAACGTGGTTCCCCATTGGAATGCATCGAAATCTACTTAATGCGTTCCAATGGAAAAATCATTGTCTTGCGAAAATCATCCATAGAAAACATGGTCTTGCAGAATGCGGTTCCCCATTAGAATGCATTGAAATCTATTTAATGCGTTCCAATGGGGAAAAATCGTCGTCTTGTGAAAATCGTCCGTAGAAAACATCGTCTTGCGAAGCGCAACAGCGATCGCAAAAAACAATCGTCTTGTGGATTAATCATCCTGCGAGGCAATCATCTTGGGAGGCACCACTGTAGTTTGACTCGGAGACAGATAATAGTAGCGTAATAAATAGTTTTGTTAGTTTTGACAATTAAATGTTCATGCTTTGAAAATGTAAGCCTTTGGGGCTCATAACACACACCTAAAATACAATGTGAAAATTATAGCTCCTGAGTTCTTCACCATCTCAAATGTTAATCTGAGCAAGAAACTAATTCCCTTCTTATCCCACTTGTACTGTTGGGGAAGAGAGAGAATGTGGAATGTAGAAGTGTCCATAACTGGGCAATAGAGCAGATCTGAAAAGTTTGTATTCACTGGGTCAGGTCAAATAGAGGCACTGTAATAGATAAAACATTTCCCAATGCAGACTCGTAACCACAGCAGTAATCTCCAGGGAAAATGCACTTTTCAAGGGCTACTCATGTAGCATACTTATGCTGAGAAGATATTTCCCTTCTTTCTCTCTCTCTTTCCCCTGTTATGTTGAGTGTTGACATGTAAAATCAACAGATGTGTTGGTATGAAGACTCAATTAAAATCCATATAGGCTCAGTATAAGCTCAGCTATTTCTTGATATCAGAGAAGTAGTTGAGCTTATTTCCAAGACTATTTGGGTGTGAACCAGAAGTTATATGGTATGAATAATATAGGACCCAAGAATGGGGTCAACTCAACTGTTCAGCAGAAGAAGGCTGATAGAATCAGAAATGGTCAAGATGTCCACCATTTTCTCTTAACATCTGCAGGCAATAGGTGTTGAGAGGAAATGGTGGAGGTCTTTTGACTGTTCCATTTGGCCTTCTTTACTAGTGCTCTGTCTTAGAGAAGAGAACTGACTATGATACTCACCCTACTTGAGATCTCCTAAACTGAAACCTGTTGCCTCAGGTGTGGTGGACAGTGTTCCACCAACGATATTGAAATAACATTCAGCTTCCCATCCTATCATCATCTATACATGTGAATGGGGCACTCTCTTTTCTTGTCCCGGGGAAGAAAATGTCTTGGGCCAGTCCAGATAGGGAAGTTCTGATTCAAATTTCATCTCATGTGCTTTGTTACACATGTGGAAGGCAAACAGCATAACCACTTTTCTCCCATTCCTTATGTGTAATGAGGCTGCAATAATGCTGGTCTACCTTACTTATAGCTGTGAGAATTAGAAATATTCAAAGCACTTTGAAAACTGAAAACCCTCTGTTTGACATATTACCAAATGCTTCTTGCTTTTCTTTGTGTGCTTTGTTATATTTGCCAGCTAAAAATCTTTGCTGTACTTGTATGGGGGTTAATACCTTGAAATAAGGGGATTTAGTTCAAAGGTATTATCTTGGCTGTTTGAACACAGTGTATTTTGTCAGGGGAAGTGGGATAAGTAAGCAAGTACACGTTATATTTTAATGTCCTTTTTGGGGGTCATCTTTAGGTTTTTACAGGCGTTCTGCTCATGGATCCCTCCTCCAGTGCATAATCTACTGTGAGGGGATTATTCCATTTTTGTTCAGGGTGGCCCTTACTATTACACAATTAGAGACTGTTTAAGTTTATTCAGCCAATTAGCACTGGTTTAGGATTTGGCATGAGGTGAGGGAATTCATTAATTGACCCCCATAAGACAAGTCTTTGTTCTGATATCATGTGGTCACATGCAATTTCTGTCACAAATCCTCACATGTATTCCAACCAGTTAAGCTTTCTCTTTCTCCCTTTGTCTCCAAGGTTAGACAAAAGTTTGCAATTTTGATGTCATATTGTTACTCCAATCAGTACGCCAGCCTAAAATCTCAGTTTATGTAGCCTCTTGAAGTGTGCACGTATCTTCGTGCTTACTCTTCTATCCATACATATCTGGATTGTTTCTATGCAACCGGCTGTTATAAGACTGTCATTCCTGTATATCATCACTTTAATCCATAATCATCAATATTAAAGATGTGGCTGAATAGACTGAACTCAGTTGCCCTCATTCATTAAAGCTAATTAATCTAAATGATATCTGTTTGTTGCAAATCCAGCTCTCCATTCAGCTGTTTTACTGGAAGAGGTTTTTTTCAACATAGGATGGAAGGAAAGTGTAAAGAAATAAAGAAATCTACCACGGCTGTTTTGCATTTACATGCATAGGAGCAGGCAGCTATCATTCATACACAAAGTACCTGAGATAGCAACGGTCCTGCTACCTATTTCAGCTCACACTTTCAGACAGGATGGAAATCTCATAAAAGAATCGTGAGCAAGTATTGCATTTAGGGGTGACCTATCCCCAATTCTTCTCAATCAAAGCCTATTCACTCTTCAGAATGTGTGATGTGGGTTGATATAAATGTGGGGATTAACATTCTTACTGCTACTGCAGGGGAGCCAAGGTGAGTGCTAGGAATGAGGAATGTGCAGCTCTCTGGGTGTTTTTGAATTCAACTCCCACAATCCCTTACCTATCGCTCATGCTGGCTAGGGGTGATGAAGTCTGTACTCCAGCAACATCTGGAGGTCCACATCTTCCCCATTTCTGGTGTACGGCAATGCATTCCTCACCATATTTTTCTACTAGTCCCCTTTTTATGCACCTCCATTCTGCCAGAAGAAATACATCCTTTAATGTGCCCCATATTTAGAAAGGTGTCCAAGAGTCACTGTGGTAGTCACTCGAAATAAAATCATCAAAGTGTCATGTGGCAGCTTAAGAAATGCACTCTCTCACAACCTTTTCTAGTCTAGAAACGACATTGTTTGAGACATTAGAGATAGGCAGGTCACTTCATTTCAATTTCATTCAAGTTCTCTTTTGCCCCACCAAGTTTTTTTTCCTGTTCCTGTTCCATACTGGATTTCTTTTTCTTTTCTTTTTTCTTCCTTTTCTTCCTTTTTTTTTTTTTTTTTTGGTAATCCACACAAAAATCTGTGCATGTTTTAGGTATACTTATCAAAATGTATGCTTTGCATCCTGATTTTTCAATGTATTCTTTCTGCTGTGTATGTTGTCGAATGCATATATTCTCCATTATGAATAAAACATTCCTGAGGACATTTCAGGGAAACTGACTCCAAATGTTCAAATGCTTTCATTAGTAGGTGGTAATTTTTTTGGAAAAAAAAAGCTCTATCCAAGTATATTTGAAAACATAGGAAAAAATACAGATGTGGACCCCAATCTGTATTCTGGTTCAGACTGCAGTTAGGGAAATGTTTTAAGTTCACACTGAAATATGAACTAAAGCATCACATGGTATGTCCCTGCACCCACCCCACCCCCAACTACAGCTGGAACAATTTTACAAAAACCTCACTAGTTCTACCTTGAATAGGCAGAACAGTTTTATTTTGCTTTGGAACAACACTTATTTAATTGTTTGTTTGTTTGTTTGTTTGTTCGATTTATATCCCGCCCATCTGGTATATTCTACTACTCTGGGCGGCTTCTGTGAATGTGCATCTTGTGTTTATTTTATGGCTGGGAATTAAATTGTTTTCATTATCTTTGTTGCTTCCTAACCACCCATAATTTCTCCAGTAAGCTTACTATACATCGGGTAGAGGGATAAGTCCTTTAGAGCTTTGGCCTACCATACAAGAAATCATGGTTACATTTCACCTTGTTGTAGTTGTCTGTAATGGCGAGAAGCAGCACATTATAGATCCTCCCTCAGGACAGCAGAACTGATTAAAAGGATGAGAGCAACTAGCAAAAGTGCTATTCAAACACAGAACCCTCCTGAGATCAAGAAAGGTAATCATCTGTAGTCCAGGAGATGGAGAGAATGTGATTGCAATGTGATTTTCTCTCCTTCCTCAAAAAAGAGCCAGAAGAGTGGGAGATAAAAGAGGAAAAAAATAAAAATAAAAAAAGAATTAGGTTTGCTTTAATACTGTTTTTTGTTGTTTAAAAAAACTCATTTTCTTATATTTGTGTCTTTTCCTTCCCTAGATCTCAAGTCCAAAAGCATTACTGAACTAGTCAAAGAAATTGTAAGAGACCAACTGAAAGTCTTCCAGAGTGACATGCAAGAAACTGTGGCCCAGGTTTTTAGGATTGTGTCTGGTTTGTCTGATGACCTTGAGCGTTCCAAAGAATTGATCAGAAATCTGAATGCTTCCCACCAAAAAATTGCCACAGAGATAATAAATAGGCCTACACTGGTAGAAATCCAAGAGATAAGGAACCAGATCTTACATATTGAAAAGGACATGAGCATTACATGTGGCACGCCAATCAAAGAACTGCAGGAAAAGCAGAGGTCCATGGAAGTTGCATTGGAGCATCAAAGTTCAAAGAGTAATGTATACTATGAATCTCTGAACAAGACTCTGAGTCAAATGAAAGAGGTGCATGAACAACTCTTATCAGCTGAACAGACCTCAGACCAAAACATCCCAAAAGCAGGTAAATCAGTTAGTGATAACCTTACAGATTACATGATTAGTCTCCATGAGAAAGTGAAAACACAGAGTTTGATGGTTCTGCAGCTTTACGATGACCTTAGAGTCCAAGACAGTAAGATAAGTAACCTTACTGTAACGTTAGACATCCAGAGGGACAGTGTACAAGAAGAATGTGACAGCATGTTGTCCAAGTGTAGAAATGACTTCCAAACGCAACTGAAGGGGATGGAAGAGAACATGTATTCCTTAAATAAAACAATGGAGAATCTGGAGTATTCCTTGGATGATAAGATGGACAAAATGAATGAGCAAATTAATGACCTCTGTTATGATATGGAGATCCTTCAGCCTTTGATTGAGCAAGGAGTTCCTTTCAGCTTTAGCTCAGAGTATGAGCAACGGATTGAAACAGAAGCTATCTCCACAAAGCTAGAGAATTTAACCAGTGTTGTGACAGGGCTTCGTTTCACTGTTGAAGAACTCACCAAAAGTCAAAAGGAGCTTAAAAATGAAGCTCAGACTCACAACGAAGTCTCTGAAAGGCGTCTCGATGAATGCTTTGTTTTAATGGAAGATGGCATAAACAAGACAATGATGGTTATAAACAATGCCATTGATTCTATCCAGGACAATTATGTCCTGAAAGAAACATTGAGTGCCTTCAAAAATGAGACTGCATCCTGCTGCAGTGGTGTTCAGAAGTTGGAAAGCATATTAACATTAATACCTCGGTTCCAACAGATGAATGAATCCCTTCAGATACTAGTCAATGAGAATCAAAAGCGCAACCTTATTTCAGAAAGAGTTAAGTCTCCTTCAGAACCTTCACATAGTGAAAACACCATCCCTCGTCTCAGCAAAGTTCAGCATAATTCAAACACAACATCATTAACTCCACAAGAACGTCAACAAGGCATAGGTCACCTTCATGAGAACCTGTTGCATCCCACAGCAGAGCAGGAAGATTATGAAGTTCGCTTACAAACAGTAGAGGCAAAAATAAACAAGTTTTTGGCAAACAACTGTGTCTCGGTAAGAAACGTCAAAGCTGCTGCAACAGAAAAGGATAAAGTTGTCTCAAACCAGCTTCAGACCTTGAGTTCCAGGATCAGGGCGCTTGAAGCCAAATCCATACGCTTTTCCGTGAGCATCCCTGTCTTAAACAAAACCGCCTATGAAGCACGCGGCTTGTGTCAGGCTATCTCTGGAAACATACAAGCCATGAATGCCAGCATTCCCAAACTAGTGAAACTGGTTTATCCAGAGAGTTCGCTGTTTCAGAAGGGCATGAAAGAACTCACCGAATCCATGCTGGAGGTAAAGGCAGAAACGATCCTGTCCAATCTAACTTGGTATGTAGACAAATCGCTAGCTGACGCGGTAGACAATATCACTAAACGTTTGAAGGCAACTCCTGCAATTGCTAAAAAACCACCACCAGGAAAAAAGATGCCAGTGAACCCCAATACGAACCAGGCTGGACGAAGTCAGCGAAATGCAGATTCTACCCTAGAAGCAGGTAACGCATTTTCACATTACTAACAAAATATTGCTATGAGAGGTGGCTTGTGGTACAAGGAAGTGACATAAGGGAACTTGTGGACTGAGCAATGGGCACTCAACATCAATAAAGTTGGGAAGGGCTACCCTAGCCACTGGCCAGCCATGAGGGAGAAGCATCTTGCCCCAAAATTTCATGCTCTGTACCTGCATCCTGTTGGGTCTGCAGTACTGTTTTTACTACTATTGTATTGCTATCTTGCTTCAGAATGAAAGATGTTGCCTGAACCTTGCTATTACTTGGTTTAGAATACAGCTCAACCTATCCATTCTTTGATGCAATAAGAACCAAACCCCTTTTTTCCTTAATAAGTTTTCTTGCTGCTCTGAATGGAAAATGAGATTCTGCATCTGCGTTAAAAATAGATTTAACTTAAAACATTGATTTGACTTTAAAATAGATTGTTAAATCGCGTTCAAATAGATTGTGAAATCTATTTTTAGTTGAAGTCCTAGACACTAGTGCTGCATTTCAAATGAAACACAAAGACACCTGGAAGGATGTGTTTTGCATCTCCTTTGTCTGACTCCAGACCCAAGAGGCTAAGAACACATACACTAGGACGTGTACTAGTACAACCTGCAATGAGAAGTTGGCATATTCTATTTGTTTGTTTGTTACCTTGGGTTGAGAAGCTTCTGGGAAGCTTGATTCCACCTTATCAGCTTGATTAGGTGAGTTTTCAGGCTGTACAGCTATTTCCAAAAGAGCACTGGCAGATATTTAAGGATTCTGGGGTCTCAAACACCTGTTTTGGGGGGCACTTGTTTGGGGACACTTAAATACCTGCTTTTGGGAGCATCTGTTTAAACTAAGATAAGTGTCCAGGGAAAACACATCTGGACAAAAACGGAACAGATGAGTACAAGTTACTTTAGAACTTACAGGGAAAGGTCATAGCTGGCTAAAGAGACACTTGTGTCAGTTATACTGCAGATACATTGCATACAAACCCCTAGTAAATCCAGTTAGGAACATCAGGGTAGCAGTTATTTTCCTGCATTGTCTGTTCTAATGACTGAATTCAGTCTCCTTAGAGACACTGGTAATTTTGTTCGGCATTATCAGGGTTCTATATAATTTCCTGGCAGGGCTCTTAATGCAGGTGAACAGCATTATTTTCCCAAGTCCAAGAGAACGAGGGAGTGGAGAATCTGAGTTGCACTCTTAATTCATAGTCCCTGATTGCCTCAATGTTCCATTTGACTGTGGGGAATCCAGCCAAATGTTCAAAGTAATTAAGGGTGGATTGGCATTTGGGTCCTTAATTTAGTAGAGAAAAAATTGAATTTCGTTTGCATGAGATCCAGGAAAACCTAGAATCCTGATCAATCCAGACCAAACAGACACTAGCTATTATACTGAGCCAGCAGTCCAGAATCTTTTTTAAATGATCATTTTTTAAAATGCGGCTTTGACATTGTTTGGTGTACAATAAGGTAAATTGAAAAACAGCTAGGGCATTTTCATTCTTTTATGTTCCCCCATCGTCTATTTCTTTGCTTCTATTCCTTCCACCTCAGTGCACATGCTCAAGGCATGCCTAAAGTCAAGCGCTTGCAGTTCATCCGATAATCAAGCGCACATGAAGTTTAAAGTGGATTCAGGCTTCAATAATATTTCCACTTTATTTCATATCTGTCTACTTATTCATTCTCCCTTAAACTGCTGGAAGCATCTTCGGCAAGGCAGTGAAACAGCAGCAGTCAGCAGCTCCATGGCTAAAGTGCCTTGGCCTTTTGGCAGGTTAAAACCCATTCTTCCATGCAAAAATGGCTGCATTTCTCTCAAAGACGGTCCTCTACCATAGGCAGTTTTGCAATCAGTGCATATGCAGAAAAGGGATCTGTGAGAGCAGCAAGTCAGCAGCCTGTGGAAAGCACAGATGAAACTGACATAAGACACTGTCCACTAGCCCATCAGAGAAGGTAAAGTCTGTGAGCTGCATGTGGCCTCTTCCTAGGCTCTAAAAAGTTGTCTATCAAAAAACATACACTGTTGTTTATTGATGTTGCTGCTGTAGTGGTAGCAGTGGTGGTGATGGTTGTTCTGGTGCTGATGATGGTCATCATCACCATCACCACCACCATGTAGAATAGGGCTGCCTCTGGATCCCCCAGTTTACAGTTCAGAACTTTGGGATAGATCCTGATTTGATCAGTGGTGATGCAAATCCTGCTCAATCCAATTTGTGCTCCAGGCTTGAATAGATTTGAAAATTCAAGTCATCAGCCCTTTCATTAACTGGCACTGCGAAAACCAACATGGCTATAACATCTTTCTTTTTGCATTCATATACATGACATTGCCAAAAGAAGGGCACAAATCTACCAAATTTCAGATTGCTAGCCTCGGAGGTTTGTGTACTGGACACTTTTAATGTTTGATCCCTGCCAACTCTGATTGAAGACAAATGTTAGCCTCTGATTGTACTATACAGTTATTATTGAGCAAAACTCAGTGCCCCTTCTTCCCTTCTGACCACTATATTCCATAATTCCTCTTGTTCTTTGGCTAGTTCCCCATTATTTTAGACATCCAAATTACTGAATGAGTGCAAAGAGTCTTGGCTTTCTCCTGGGACCTCTTCATATTCCATTCCAATCTGGCCTCAAACAAAATAGCCCAGATTAGGCCAATTGGGTTTGAGATTCCAGCTTTAGCTGAAGCCAACACACAGGCCTACTGGAGAATCATACCTCCAGAAGCCTCTATGGGATGAGGTTATCTTCGAAAAAAAGATGTAGTCCTCACACATGTCTCAGCATGAATGAATGAATGAATGAATGAATGAATGAATGAATGAATGAATGAATGAATGAATGAATGAATGAATGAATAAATCATGCTTTTTTACAGACAGAAATAAACAGAGAGTCTGGAGCAACCTACCTCAAGTCCAAGAATGGACTTAAAATAAGGATAAAATAAAAATGCCCTCTAGATCTTCTGAATTTTTCGCCACCGCCTGGGAGGTTCTGTAGCTGTCTTTGACATAGAGCAGACCCTCAGAATTGTCTAGTTTTAATCAGAATGCTTGCATGGGAGTGAAGGTGGAACAACACCTACTTTCAGTTTCTTCTGAAGCACTACCACAGCCACTACTACCACCACTATCAACAACAACAACCATTACATTTATAACTAAGGGCAGAGTTCCATCTGAAGAAAATGTCTTGGGGGAACACAGATGTCAGATACCTGAGAGATTTCAAGCCTACATCAACAGAGGTCTCACCTGATCTCCCTCACACAGTTTAGTGTCCCTTCTTCTCTCTTTTCTCACAACAAGCTATTCCATACTATCTAAATCATACCATTCCCCCAGATGTTCTTTCAGTTTTAGTATCAATTTCTTCCTGAGAGAGAAGGAAAGACTCAGAAATTGATATCAATATGAGCCATAATAAATCTATTTGAAATCATTTGGGAGAGAAGATAATTTCTGAGTCTCAACCTGATAGCTTATCTCTTCCAGGGGAAGTAAAGGACCACTGAATCATGCTTAGCTTCAAATATAAATCCTGACACACTTTTTTTTTCCTGGACTCCAAGCCTTTCCTTGTTGCTTTGTTGTTCAGTGCCAAAAAATGCTTCTGTGAACGTGTTTCGCTCTTTGTGTTTTAATTGCGAAAGATTGATCGTTACCCTAATTCAGTTTGACTTTTCATGCTTCAACTTTGCATATTCAGTGCAATAGCACACAGACAGATGAAAGAGGTTTTTGTTGATGTTGGTAATTTGGTGCATTGGGTAGCAGAGGAGACTGACACTTTCTGATGAATGGGAAATGGACTGAGCACAAGAGCAGTTGCTTCCTTATTGCCACAGTACCAAGGAAGGCCCTCCCAAAACTGACCTCTTCTTATTTGTCAAAAAAAGAGAGAACAGTTCATGTCCTCTCAGCTCATTCAATCTGAGGGTCTCTTTAGGTGATGGACAGCAGTCCTCAGTTCTGCCTTCCTTGAAGCAAAAACAAACCAGGGCATCTTTCATCATTGGTACTTTGTTTCAAGATTAGATTACTGAACAGCGGCAATGTGGATCTTTTATTTACAAAACACTGAGCTGGAATGTAGCACACCAGGCATCCGAAGGGCAAGCCTGTGGTACAGCCACCACCTGGCTGAGGCTAACTGCAGATGGGTTCACTTCCCTAATAGGAAGCTGTCTAACCAAAATCAGTCAGTGGTCATGTAGGCTGGGGAATCCCCAGAAAACAAGGACCTTTGCCAGATTCCATATAGGATGCTTTCATTTTTGCCATAAGAGAAATTCAGGATGCAAATATAATTGATCATAATTAACAGTACCTTGATTTGTTAGCACTATAGGTACATGTTTCTTAAACAATCATACACCTACCACTGATGGAATGCAGATGCAGTCCTGGTGGTACTCACAATGGAATTATTGTTTATTTGTTTTAGAAAAAAATCTATTCTTGGGCTAAAATCTTGGGCTAAAATCTATTCTCTATAATACTATTGCATTTTTAATTTATTATCTTTGCATTGCACAGTTACTGTGGCAGTAAACATTTGTAGTCAACAGTACAATTGCAGTTTTCAACCACTAATGGAAATGTTATTTTCATTTGTGTTTCCTCCCAATAACTCTGCTGAAAATTTTTATGTTCTTAAAACCTATAGTAAATGGAAAACTTAATAACAGGTTATTATTCTCGGGGAACCTGCACTTTTTGCTTCTAACATGGTGGGACTAAGCCTCTCCCAGATGCAAAAGGTTGAGGGCTGCTGCTGTAGGTTTACATATATCAATATGGTGTGCAACGTGAAGTCCTTCTGTCAATTGCTCCAGACACCCAGTCCCACCTAGTAGTCTGAGGCCACTGGAAATATTTTGTCCTCCTTGCTGTGCTGCTGGGTACAGAGTGTAGGGGATTCTTCCACTTTAATATTCTATCACCACCACCCCCAACTTTTTCAAAACCCAAACCTCTTTTCTGCATGGAACTCATTTGGGCTACACAAAGATCCATACTCATCTCTGAACTTTAGAACTCAATATATGATAGGATATATGATAGCTGCTTCTTAGGATTGTTGAAAGTGATGGGGCTGCCAGACTGATTCAGAAAAAATGAAAGGGAGGTAGAAAGATAATACGCACTGTGGTACGCAGTGTTGTGTACTGGAGACCAGGGTTTGAATCCCCACTTGGCCATGAAAACTCACAGGAGGATTGGAACTGGTAAAAGCACTCCTTAAATATCTCACTTACCTTGAAAGCCCTATTAGGGTCACTGTAAGTTGGTTCTGACTTGACAGCACATAAACAACCAACTAGAAGAATACCGGGGTTGTATATTGTATGTGAAGGGATGTGGTGGTGCTGCGGGTTAAACCGCAGAAGCCTTTGTGTCCTGCAGGGTCAGAAGACTGGCAGTCGTAAGATCGAATCCACGCGACGGAGTGAGCTCCCGTCGCTTTGTTCCAGCTCCTCGCCAACCTAGCAGTTCTAAAGCGTGTAAATGCGAGTAGATAAATAGGTACCATCTCGGTGGTAGTCACGCTCACCACGTGACAACAGAAACTGTCTTCGGACAAACGCTGGCTCTACGGCTTGGAAACGCCCTAGAGTCGAACACGACTGACTAAAATGTCAAAGGGAAGCTTTACCTTTATATCGTACATAGTTTGCGGATGCTGCTCTTTCACTGAAGCATCACTATGTCAACTGCCAGCCTATTTTGAGTTAGATTTCCATTCAGGATCCATGTGTGTGCATCCCTGTCTGGCAGATTAAAGGTGAGAGGGTCATACAACACGGACTGGGATTCTCATCTTGATTCTGCTCTTAGAAACCAAGTAGAAGAGGGCCACGTTACCTCTACCCTCTATGCTGTCTGCACTATTTTTCAGAAGAACACATTCTCAAACACATTTTTAATATGGCTTAGGAGAAAAGAAAGGAGGACATGCTAGACTCTTCTGGGATCCCCTCACCTCCTTGCAAAATAGAAAAAGTAAAAAGACAATAGATGTTGTTGCTGCAATGTGCTGTCAAGTCACCTCCAATGCGTGGTGACCCTGTGAATGAGTAAACTCCAAAGAAAAAAAAGGAATCTAGGATCCCCTCACCTCCTTGCAAAATAAAAAAAAGTAAAAAGACAATAGATGTCGTTGCTGCAATGTGCTGTCAAGTCACCTCAAATGCATGGTGACCCTGTGAATGAGTAAACTCCAAAAGGTCCTATCCTTAACAGTCCTGTTCAGCACTCGTACAAAACTCAAGGCTTATGGCTTCCTTGACTGAGTCAATCCAGCTCATATTTGACCTTCCCCATTTCCCAGTAGTAGTCTTGTTCTGCAAGTCTGGTCTGTTCATGTTGTGTCCAAAGTACAGCATGTACTCAGTTTTGTCGTTTTTGCTTCTGGGCACTAAGTCATGGAGTCAATATTAGCTGGAAGCGGCTTAACAGCACATGACAATAACATAACTTTGCTTTTTAAATGGGCTTGGACTAAACAGCCCCCCAGAATATACTTTCAAGGGACCAATCTCTGCCAGCCTTCCAAATAGGGGACCATTTTAAAGTAAGATACATAGAGTCAATACCTATATTCTGGGCATTTCTATCTGAGATATAAGTAATTCCTTCGAAGAGTAAATGGACCCACTCCCCACCCATCCTGAATAGATTAGTGGGTCCAGATTCCACATCTAGCCCTTCAAACTCCAGGACATGGAGTTCAAAGAACGGACTACTGAGTATGAATCTTCTGTCCACACACCAAATCCCCACTACCCATCATGCAGAAAACAGGTAGGAGTCATTACTTTATTTTTCCGTTTATAACACACCCCCGTTTATAAGACACCCCTCACTGTTCTAACCCCCCAAATTAAGAAGTGTAGATGATTTCCCACCGCCATTGAAAAAGCCTTTCCTAGGGCTCTGTTACCATAGCAAGGGCAGTAAGCTTTGCCTTTGAGCCCTGCCACCTGTGGAAAGAGCCTTGTGAAACTCTGAAATTTAATTTGATTGTTAGGCAGGAGAAAATGCTTCGTTCCCACCCTTGGTTTATAATCGGGGTGGGCAATGTAGGAGCCTGCCGGCTATACGCAGCCCCTCAAAAGTGTGTTTTTGTGGTTCCAAGGCCACCTCAGGGCCATAGATTTTTCATCAATGGTCTTGGGGGGGGTCCCCTAAGGCCTCCCACCAACCAAAATGAAAAACAGGACATGTCCATTCAGGTACTCCCTGCTTTTTTTAAAAAAACCCAAAAACCTGCCTCCAGGCCTTGTGCAGCCTGGAATGGCAGAGAGGGGCAACATTTTGGCCTAGAAACCTCACGCCACACCTGATATAGAAGGCGCCTGCAGCAAAAAGGATTGGCTGAGCTGCAGCATTCAGAAAGCTCGAGGCTAGTACGGCCAGAGGTCCAGATCTGGAACAGACAAGGCAGGTTTGAGGCCCTTGTCTGGCAGTCAGTCCAGAATTGACATCATCTGGCCTAGACAGGAGCAGCATGAAGCTTCTTCATTTTTTTCCTGCTGCTTCTTTTTAAAACAGGCCTTCCCTTCCCTTTCTCCTTTACAGATCCCTGTGCTGTCTCAGGTTGCATTGTACCACATCACACCCCTTCCATTCCCCCTCTGTCTGTTCTCCTTTTTTGGTGTTGTAGCAGTAGCCCCCGTACTCAGGGCTTCCAGCTACAGCAAGGGTTCCCAACCTTGGGTCCCCATATGTTCTTGGGCTAAAACTCTGAGAAACCTTCACCACTAGCTGTGCTGGCCAAGAGTTCTGGGAGTTGTAGTCTAAGAACATCTGGGGACCCAAGGTTGGGACATGCTGAGCTAGAGCAGTGGTTCTTAACCTTTGTTACTCAGATGCTTTTGAACTGCAACTCCCAGAAACCCCAGTCAGCACAGTTGGTGGTGAAGGCTTCTGGGAGTTGCAGTCCAAAACTCCTGAGTAACCCAAGGTTAAGAACCAGTGAGCTAGAGTATCCTTCTGCAACTTGGTACTCTCCTGATATTTTACATAGTCCCTCACCATTGTCCTGCTGAGTTGGACTGTTTGAGGCCATCGTTCCAAAACTTGCATAAGCCACCACTGCACAACCTCTTGCGGACACCTGTGAATATTCAACAGCATGAATATGAAAATATGCTTCTCTGTCCTAGGTTTTATCATTGCGATAGATGGAATACATTGTGTCAGGGATGGGGCTAGGGAGGGAAGAAAAAATAATTACCTAAGTCAGACAGAAGCCTCTCAGTATGTTGTAGTCCATAGAGCTCACCTGTCTAACCTCGGGTAAGGAAGAGGAGGCCCATAGCACAAAGCACACAAAGCTTTGCATTCAGCCCAGCAAACTCAGATTCATCACCCTCGAAATGCTATGACAGAACACAACGGCCTCTGGAATAACTGGGCTGGAAATTAAAGATCGCTCAAAGCGCCACTGAAGTGCCTATGAAGAGAGGCAATTCCACACATCTGCCAGCAATCAGCACTTATTCTGAAATACCCTTTTCATCACCCTCATGCCTACCTACCTCTCAAGTGTTCCTGGACTGATCTTTCAAGACTCAGAGGCCAGCCCACTTACGTAGCAATCCAGCTGCAAGAACATATACACTCCTATTGTCACTACGTGGAAAAGTCTGAAGAGCTGAGCATGTTGAATAGTCTCCAGTAAAATCCATTTGTCTAATCCCTAGATGATAGAGCAGAGTGATTTGTAGGGGACAGTTCAAGGAGCAGTGGGAATGGATGGGGGTGGAACCCAATTGCCTCAATCTCTTAGGCCCACTTTTTATGCACGCAAAACATGGAGTGATAACATGGTGGCTCCTCTGTATCTCTCCAGCCTGTAAGTCAGTAGAAGGAATTGTTACATGTCTGTTTATTCTGTTTCTATATAAAGTGACCTTTTTTTCATATAAAATGTAGATTTTTAAAAAGAAAATGGGGCTAGTTCTGCACTCAAACATAGGTCAAAACATAGGTTGGTTTGGTCTTGAATGGCAACTAAGAGCCATTCGTCCACCCCAACTGAAAATGTAGCTGTGGCAGTAAGGTTGCAGGAGTAGGAGGCTAAAGGGCATTTGGACTTTGGAAGCCAGATGTTGTAAAGAGTTACTGAAAGTCCTCTTGTTTTTATGCATGATCATTGTGCCAATGTATGCCCTTCTTTCCCTTTTAATCCAGGTGATTATCTGAGCTGCAGTAGCTCCCCATGTCAAAATGGGGGGACTTGTGTCAATGAGAGACAAGGCTTTGTTTGCGCATGCCGCTTTCCTTTTGGAGGGGCCAACTGTAGCACAAAGATGGTGGAAGAAAACACCCAAACCATTGGTAAGTATATGTAAAATCTAGCCAACACTTTGTCTCCCCTTTTCTAGGGGAAAAATTGGGTTGTACACAAGATTCACACAAATCACAAACCAGGCACCATATTGGCCTGACTTCAACTGATTTGTTTGAGGTCCAAAATCTAGCTGAATGGGCAGATTAGTGTCTCAGTTCCACAGATTTGCTTTTTTCCAAGATCAATCTACAGATTGATTTGGATCTTGGGCACAAATTAGATCAGATGTTCTGGACCAAACTGGAGTACATTCCAAAGCACCAAGCTGGCTTACAAACTAAATCCAGGAGACCTGTGCACAACCCTAGTAAAAGACAGATATTAAAAGAATAAGAACTTCTTGTCTGCGCCGGATTCTCTGAATGATGTTTTCCTATTGTCACAATCTTTCCTGTAAAGCACAAAGAACCCATAATCCTCTATTTTTATACATCCCACATCACAGAGTCTAAACCTTGGTTTCTTTCACAGACCTGTCAGTAACAAGCAAACCTTAGGTGAATAGAAGATGTTAGTCAAGTGCAGGATCGTAAATAGAAAAGAATAAACTGATAATTCCTATTCCAAAAATTGGGAAATTGCAATACCATAATATTGTTGTCTTTCAGACAACTAATGGCATGGCCTTGTTTCACATCTTACCTCTCTCTGCTGCAGCCTGGTGGCATGACTACCAAGGGGGCTAGCTGGGGGAAGTAAATTACTCAGTGCCACATACAGATATAAAGTCTCTGTTGTCTCAATTCTGCAAGCAAAGATTAAGATTTGGAAAGTTCTTTTTCTCACTGGTGTAAACAGCAAGAAATTTCCAGGAACTTTCAATAGAACCCCTGCAATGGCAAGAACAGTGTTTCATGTTTTTAAAATATTTGTTGTTGTGCAAACTGCCAATTTTTTGCACACAATTGCCTGGCTTTTCTGTAAAATTTTGTAATTTGCAAATTATAGGAACTGGTCCACATTAGCATTATTTCAGTTGTATTTCAGAATTTAAAGCATTAGATGGGTTGACCGTGTCTTTCTTAACAATCAGCCAATCCTTCTTTGCTCGTTCTGTGCTGTATGAGTGTGCAGGAGTGCTTTCTTTCTCAAAGGGAAGGGATTGTATGGGCCTTTTAAACAACTTGTAAAGACTGAGAGAGAAAGAGAGAGAGTAAATGAGCTTTTTGAAAATCCCTCCTTGTTGTAGGTTGAAACAGCCTAAATTGACAAGAATAAGGAATTTGTGGATTATTCTTCCCCATCCATAAAACTAGCAGACATCCCTGTGGAGCTTCTAAGAAAGCAGAGGTATTACTTTTTGGACAGCTTAGGACAGTGATGGTGAACCTTTTTGAGCCCAAGTGCCCAAATTGCAACACAAAATCAACTTATTTATTTCAAAGTGCCAATACTGCAATTAAAACCCAACTGCTCGCGCACTGCAAGGGTTAAATGCTTGTGTCCCCCCCCCCCATGGACGGTATTAACAAATAAATACTTACTGGGCCTCCAATCCCCCATTGGGATAGACCAGTAATTGTCGCCATTGCACTCCTCCACTGGACCACCGCACCAGCAGACAGGAGTGCCGAAATCCAGGATCGGAGGATGGGTAAGTATTTCTCTATGGCAACTTATGTCTCGTGTGCCCACAGAGAGGGCTCTGTGTGCCAGCTGTAGCACGCGTGCCATAGGTTTGCCATCACTGGCATAGGAGAACTTGTTTCATAGTTTAATCATTCAGACATTTTGTTTGTTCCATGTTCCCAGTAACTTAAGATGTTTTTTATATACTGTACATCTTTGGAACAAGGCTGAGTGGATGCTTAACTGGGAGCAGCAGTCAGATTTCCTAATGAGAGGCCAGCTCCAGATTCAGGTGGTCCTCAACAAGAAGTGTCAGTTCATCCCTCTCCCTTCATGGCAGGCTCACCTGGCCATGAGAGGGCCATTATTTTGATTTCTCATAATGCCTCCTACAGTATCACATTGGGGCACTGGGAGAAATTAAATGGCAGCTTTAAGCTTCTTCTGCTTTGTTGAAAAATGTGCTTGTTTGTTTGTTCTTAAGGAATTGCTCAGGCAGGGATTTGACACGGACCAGACTGGGTCTAGGATCCCAGGAACTGATGGAGAATCAAGAAGTATCACTCAATTTCAGAACAACAGGTGTCTCCTAGCCAAATATCCACCTATAATTACATTTTCTGGATGCTCATTATTATTATACCATATGTAAATCAGTTGCAAACAATAGTGTTATCCACAAAGAAGTACATTGGGTCTTCCCTTTTGAATCTAATCTTGTTCTGTGCAACCAAGGGAGTTCGATTTAGGCTTACCACTTTTTATTTGGTGCCCTCTCCCCTGTTCTTTTAACAACTGGATGATAGACGGAATGTCTTTCTTGTCTCTGTATTTCTTTGCTGGAAAACCATTTACTGCAGTGGAGCTGGCTGACTTTAATTTCAGAGGTGCTGTGAATCCATTGTGCAGATTTTAGGCTGTGCGGCACATACAAACATGTTATATTTGTAGAAAGGTGAGAAACAGCCTTGGAGAGAGAAATAGCATCATGAAAGCTTTTCTTACTAAAGAAAAGCAGCACAGTCAAGAATGAATTTTTCTTGCTGGTTCTGATTTTAAAAAAGAGACAACCTTTTCTTTGTTGGTGCGTTTGACGCTAATTGTGAAGAAAATTGCTTTCTATACAGTACTTAAGAATTCATTCTGCTTTTCCTCTTCAGCTTCTTGAGAACTTGACAGGAAGCCTGGGGGGAAGTTTACAACCACCCCTGTGTCTGTTAGATAGATTTGGTCCCATTTAAACTGGCAGTTCGACACAAGCAGAAGACAACAAAAGGCAGAAGGGGTTGTTATGGCTGACATGGGGAGAACGTCTGCAATAGCAGCCTCCTGCCCTCCATTTAAACTCATTTTCTGACATGATGGCATTATGCCATTTTCCCAAGCCCTGCTGCACAACATTGTTGGTTGAGTGTAGATTTGGGGCAATTCACTGTGAGATGACAACATGGAAGAAGAAAGATGGGAAGCCACCAGCTGCAATAACAGAGAGAGAGAGAGAGAGAAGACGATTTATTAGCGTAATGAGTTAATTCCAACTTTTACATTTCCTCAGGGGCAGAACAGCAGATGTTTTTTTGAAGAAAACTCATCACAGTTATGAAATATTTCATATAATGGTTTTCACTGTAAGAAATATTTGATAATGATGAGAGGTGAGAAATCTTAGAAGGTTCTTCCTTGAGGATGCAGGTAGACATGGCTCTGCTTTTAGAATTAAGAACTATGTCAATTGATTTTTCACTTTATCTACTTACTATAGGTATATCTACTTTCTCTCCAGTAAGCTAAAAGCAGCATCCATGAATCTCCTCCTCCATAAGGTGGCATCAGAGGATCTGTGTGGAGTTGGTCTGGCTAAGAAAGAGAGAAGGGCAGGTCCAAGTACAGCCAATCAGAATTGGTTGACTCCAGGCCTTTCATGCCTGCGATTTAAAAACTGAATATATGAGAAAGTGAAACTGGCAGAATCATCTATAGCTAGTGGACTTTGAATGCTTAACTTACAAAAGTCTGGCTTTTGTAAGTTAAACATTCTTTTGTATTCAACCAAGATGTTGGTGTTGAGTTCGGGTTGACCCCTGCTTTCCCCACTCCATTGTTTCCCCTCACATTTAATAGTTACGAAGTGTCCATGGTCTTTCCTATGCTGGAAAAATCTGTACTAATGGAATGTGGCTAGTGTGGATGGTTGAGGAGAACGTTGTCTAGTTTGTATTTGCTCAAAACTTTTCGAAATTTTATAGATTCAATTAGAATTCTGATAGAAAGAATTTGAGATTTAAAACAAAAATCAGATGTGGAGAAAAGCCAATTGGGTAGGTTTAGGTTTTTGAAAATCACAAATGGCATCACATCCATCTTTGTCCTTCAGCAAGATTCATAACAATGTAACACAGGGTTGACTAAAAAGTAGTCTTCTGTGCAGCTCTGAAGTTTCCTCTTTATTTTTGAGCTCCATTGAACTATAGGGATGAATGAAAGACTTAAACCTATATATGTTTTTTGCATTAAAACACTTGATCTCAATCTTTCATGTCTTACATTCCAACCCATCACTTTTTCAAAGCACCATGATACAAAAATACATTTTGTTTAAGAAATGCACTTACATGCTTGCAATATTAAGGAGGAAAGAGGAGAAAATGGAAATACAAAAGACTAACACATTTGTTTTCATGTGAGCGTTCATGGATCAAAATCTACTTGTTGAAACGTGTTAATATATTAATATAGCTGTTATTATATTAATCACATGTGCTACGTTTCCAAGAACCTAAATAATTGCAAAAGTTTTGCTTGGGGATATGTACAGGTGTCCAGAGTCACTGCTAGGATGCCAGAAGGTCAAATATTAGTAATTATTTATTCTTTATTTATTTCATGCATTTCTATACCAGTGACTTAGTGCAAAGCATTACTGTAAGCGGTTTACACTAAGACAACACAACAAAATCTTCCATTATATATACCAACATCCTCTAAGTAGTGAAGACCATAAACAAAAACAAACGATGGTGAAATGGGACATCAATACAAAGTTACCGTATTTTCCGTGTATAAGACTATACTTACAGTATGGTGAAACGGGACATCAATACAAAGTTACCATATTTTCCATGCATAAGACTATACTTTTGTCTAAAATCTTTAGACTAAAAATTGAGGCTCGTCTTATACACAGAAGCAAGCTGAGGAGAGAACAAAAACAAGTGGAGGGGAAAGCAGGGATCAAATCAATCCTGCAGCGCTTTCATCTCTTTCCCCCTACACTTGTTGAGCCCCACTTATTTTTCTTAAATTTGGATTAGAAAAGAGGGGTGTCTTATACATGGTGGTGTCTTATACACGGAAAAATACGGTAACTTAGATGAGAATGTTCTTTAGTGCCTCTTGAAAGATGTTCTTTAAGATCTTCCTAAAAGTATATCTGTGAAGATTCTCAGTCATCTAGGTGAGGTTATCTGGAAGTTTGAGTCATGGCAACTGGACTTCTTTTATATTAGGTTTTATTAGGTTTCGCTACTCATCCAAATAGCGACTGAAGAAGCTACTTGGATCTGTGGCAAAACATTTCAACCTAATAAGAAAGAAGTCCAGTTGTCATGACTGAACTTCCAGATCCTCATAAAAGATGGGAGAGAGGAAGCCAGACATATTTCTACTTGGCTGTACTTCCAGATCCTCATAAAAGATGTGAGAGAGGAAGCCAGACATATTTCTACTTGGAGTCCATTCCATAAGGAAGGGGCCATCACCAAGAAGACGTGATTCCTGGTGACTGTCTTCTTTGCCTCCCTCGGTGTGCCAACCCAGAAAAGTCAGACCTGTGAAAAATAGTTCGACAGGCTGATTGATATTCTGAGAGAGAAACACTCCCACAAATAAGAAATCAGCAAGCTCAGTAAGAGATGGTACACTTGCAGGAAGACCAGGATATTGAGGAAGAGAGAATTTTTAGCAATTGTGATAAAGGCCTTGCATCACACCATTGCTGCTTCTGCATGCTTGCCAGTACTACTTGTGCTGCTACTTCAGAACCACTGCAGGTGAAGACTTTGTTCTCAAAGGATCAACAAATGTATGTATTTTTATATTTTCTTTTCCTTTGCAGACTTCTCAAAAGGATCTTACAGGTATGCACCAATAGTAGCCTTTTTTGCCTCGCACACATATGGGATGAATTCTCCAGGCCCGATTCGATTCAACAATCTGGACGTCAACTATGGCTCCTCCTATGTCCCAGCGACTGGAAGGTTCCGTGTGCCATATCTTGGTGTTTATGTTTTTGAATATGCCATTGAATCAAACAGCCCTCTCATCTCAGGCTACCTAGTGGTAGATGGAGTAGATAAGCTAGCTTTCCGGTCTGAAAATCCAAATAATAACAAATATGTTGAAAGAGTGGTTACCGGTGATGCCTTATTGGAACTCAACTATGGACAAGAAGTCTGGCTCAGGCTGACAGCAGGCTCTATCCCAGCCAAATATCCACCCATAACTACATTCACTGGATACTTATTGTACCGTACATAAACCAGTTGCAGACAAAACTGTCAGCTGCAAAGGAAGCACTTTGGCTTTCCCCCTTTGCACTTAAACTTATTCTGCCTGAAAAACTGAATCTCATTTAGGATTGGCACCTTATCTTTGATAGGTCACCAGTGCTTTTAACAGAGGTAGGATAGATGCAAGCTAGACACAAAAGAACTATCTCGTCTCTGCTTCCCTTTGCTGGAGAACCGATTTATTGGCTGCATTTCTGCCTATATGCATACAGTTGTTAAATACAGAGAGATTTTACCGAAAGACAGGTGGTAAACCCAATCCCATTGTATTTTTATCTGAGTTTCAAATTTCCCAAACTGCTTGTTATTTCATCTTGTATTGGCTCAGTGAAAGACTTTGTAAATAGCTCTCCTGTTTTTCCAGGCACTGCATTATATGAACTATTTCAGTATGTCTACAACTACCCAGTTATTTGGACCACTGCAAAAATAAATGTTATCAGCAGTATGGAGATAATTTGTATTCAGAAGTTTTCAGTGCTCTCATAGCATAGACTGTAGCCTTGCAAATATCTACTTTGATTTATGCCATGATTCACTAGTCCCACAATTCACTAGTTGGAGCCACCTAAAGAGTAGTGGCTTAGGAATGGGAGCTGGAGACAAAGAATTAAGGGACTGCCCCCCGAGCACATGCCCAGGAGCGTTCAGATCCAGAACTAAGTTTGGTTTTGTGGAAATATTCACTCTGGATGCCCTCTATTCCTCATCAGTCTAATGTAGGAGTGTGAACAGCTCCTTCCATTGCAATCCATGTCTCCATCTACTGCAACTCATACAAGGTTCTGCCAGAGAATTCTGATTGACCTTCTCCCACTATACCATAATACGCTCATCTGTTCATGCATCACAGTCCTGTTTCTACTAGGAGGGGGCAGTTGCTGAGGGGAAGGCTGTCAATAGAGTGGGAAGGACCAATATGAGAAATCCTAGCTCTGTGGGTTGAATAGCATGGAATTGCACCATGGATGACTTCTGATAACCCACTGGATATAGTTAGGAAGTTCCTTTGAAGGTTTGGATCTTGGCAAATTGCTGAGGTTTCATTAAGTCTGGCTTTTCATTTGCTAGATTTTTTTTAAAAAAAGAAAAACATTTAGTTGAAGGTATGTGTAGTGTTTCATGTATGTATACACAAACACACACACATACATATTTACATATTCAGTTGGCTTGCAAGCAGTATCAGATATTAAAAATCTTTATTCTTGTTTGCTCACACTACATTTTGTAATTAAGCAGACATTTTTGGTGGGGAAGGGGAAGAATCTTTATTTAAATACTGAAATTCTTGAAAATGAACCTTCTCATTATTGGTGTACTTCCTACAATCTTTTAAAAAAATTGACAGGCACATATTTAACATAAATAAATTAATCAGATTCTTAAAGCAAGAGTGATACTTTGACAATACTGAAAGATGATTATTTTTCATGCTTAAAAAGATATTGTTGTGGGGAAAAAATGCCTTTAATGAACTGCTTATTTAGAGGGAAGTATGTGATTTGCCAAACACCATCACGGTACACCATTCACAGGGGACAGCGTTGATGAAAATCTTATTTTTAAATCTATATATTTAATTTGTGGTTAGGAAATTAAACAATTAATCGCATCATTTAAAAGATTAACACTCTCGTTCTCCTTGCTTTGTGGAGGACCAAAGTCACTGTTGTGTGATGAGTAACTCAGGAGGCTTTCAATGTCAGGCAAAAGGGTTGCTGGATACCACAATCACTCCCAAGAACAGTTTCAGCCCACCCTATGTTTCTTTTATTAATCCTGTCTTCTGTTTATAAAACTAAATCTTTGGCACGCCATGAACCTATATATTCCAGCATACCGTCCTCCAATGGCATACCACATCTTTCTGTAAATACTTAAAATCCCAGATTTATCACTAAACTATCCTAGCGTATCATTGAATTTTATCAGATGTTGTGCCCCCGTGGCTAAATCCCTCCCCACCTCTTGTATGACTTTGTCAGTTTAATAACCTGTTTAGTCCTCTATATTCCTGCTATGGATAGGGCTAAATGGCGTGGAAATTACGCTGCAAATGAAATTCAAATGACCCACTGGAGACTGCATCTCTCTCTTTAAATATGACTTTCTTTGCCCTTCCTGCCCTTCCTACTAAATCCTTCAAGCCAGGACTCTATCGGCACAAATCCTAATTGTTTTCTACCAAACTCAATTTTTTGATAGGCTCTTGCTTGTTATTTCCCCCACATGCTGCCCCTTTTGCAAACAAATGACATTTCCCCAGGGTCAGCTTCTGACCTCTGGGTCTTTCAGAGAAATGGGACAAAGGATCTCCCGTAAGGTGTACACACCAAGGGTACACCAATATTTTAAAATTTCACTTGGTTTGCTTAGTGAACACCCCTTTCCATAATTATCCTCCTTTTGTACCTTGTTGATTCAGTACAATCATATTAACAGATGCAGTTGTATAGGTTTGATATCCCAGGAGTTAGACTATCATTCAAGAACAGTGGAATTGTTTGGAGAGTCCCATCACTCATCTCAAAACACAGGGATGTTTTTCTTGTACCAGTTCGGCAGTTTTCGGTGTGTTTCAGGAGCCTGAAAGTTCTCTGTGATGTGGTCTTGTGACTAATGTCCAAAATATCACTATACTCCATCTCCCACAGCCACTCTAAGTTATTTGTTAAGACTAAAGCTTCCAGAAGTCCCTTGGGCCAGTGGCCATGCTGACTGGGAGATTCTAAAAGTTATACTGTAGTCCAAAACAGTAACTTTTACAAGCTCTGAATCCAAAGTTCATTCTTGCAGTGATTTTAAACAGGTTTGTAATTACAACCTACCCTGCTTCCCCCGAAAATAAGACCTTACCTAAAAATAAGCCCTAGTATGATTTGTCAGGACGCTCGTAATATAAGCCCTACCCCCAAAATAAGCCCCAGTTAAGTGAAACCCCACCCTCCACCATTGTGCAGCATTGTGCAGCAACCAGAAGAAGATGACATGACTGTATTTGAATAAATGTAGATTGTTGTACATGGAAAAAATAATAAAAGATCCCCTGAAAATAAGCTCTAATGTGGTTTTCGGAGGAAAAATTAATATAAGACCCTGTCTTATTTTCAGGGAAACATGGTATGTATCATAATTGTGATCAATATTAGACTGGGATTCAGAAAATCCAAGTTCTTGTTGCCACCAAGCCATTACACCTCTTGGGTAACCTTGGCTAATCACTCTCAGCCTACCTCAAAAGGTTGTTGTGGGAGTAGTACAAGGAAACAGCAAGTAATGTACACCACCTTGATGCTCACTAGAAGTCAGGATGTAAATGTAACCAATAAATAAAGCGAGTAAAGATCTAGAAGAAAAATGTATGGACACTTATGCGCCATATACTGATTCACATAGCATGTAAAGAGCTTTTTGTGGCTTCACTTCGACTGTTTGATCTGCCTTCATCCTATTACAAGTCACACCTCCTGTTTTTCATTCCTAAGTACAGTATAGCTCTATTCATGCATTATCGTTATACATACAACCAACACGTCTGTCTGGGTGAAGGAGCTGTGCTGTCTTCTCTCATTCCCAACACCACACACCACACTCATTCTAAATCATCAGGAATCCTAAATGTTTGAAAATGTGTGCACAGCAGTATCTGTGACGGCTACCCTCTTCCAGACACTAACATGGGATCTGTATGCCCAAGATTGTTGAGAGTGGGGCTAGCCAGTGTAGCTTTGTTTCTTGATTACCTGTTGTTGCTACTCAACCCCTGATGCCTGAGTAAAGTTGTTTGTCTGAAGTGACTCCTGACATCTCGATATGATTCTGGAATGAAAATAAATGTATTTTTCTCTTATTAATAATTGGGATTATACCTGTGGGCTCATCATCTTTGTGGTTGTCATTTCCTTGCATCTAATGTATCTCAATGTGAATTCTCTCCTGATATGCCATTGGTGCCACAGTAAAGATATGAGGAAGACTGCCTTTTCCCCCCCTGCTTATATTTCCATATCTGAACACTGAAAGGAACTAATTGGATATCATAAATTCCTGACAGCAAAGCAAACCCATCCAGCTGTACCGCTTGTTAGTTGCAATCCTATCAATACTGCTTCTATTGCACATTACCGGATATCTCTTTGGAGGCTGGAGGACCTTTACTAGTAGTCTCTCATCCTGATCTAGCTAAACACACCTTCCCCATGTTTTTCAGCTCTTTCATATCCGTGCATGGTATTGCTAGAAGGCCATGGAGATAGACATGTGCCAGTGCACCACCTAGATTGTCTCTCAAATGCCACCCATTGTCAATGGCCACCCATGCACCTAAATATTTCTGCACATTCGATCTGCATTAGAGTAAGCCAAGGAAGGGGTCACGGGGCGATCGGCTGCTTAATCTAAGGAAGCATTTGCCACTGAATGTAACTGCAGATCGATACAATCAGTAAGGTTAACCATTATGCAGAAGAGACTGAAATCAATCACTCCAGGCTCCCCTGGAATTTCCTCTCCGCCCTCCCTACTCCCCATTGCTACTTTCCTTAAGAGTAAGTACAAATAGCACTCCTGCCGCACATTCTTTTTTAAAAAATGTTTTATCCAATACTCCTAGTGTGGCAAGTGCTTATCTCTACCCAGAGCTCAAAAAGGTATCCAAAGCCCCCCCCCCCAGTATACAGCAAGCCAGCTTCCTCAGTATATTTGGATAGCCCAATTACCATGGCAACAATTTTTATCAGCTTTGGCTTTGACAAGCCCATCCAGTTTCTCGTGGCACTTTGTGCTATTATTTCCTCACTTATGCCAAAGGAGCCATTCTTGAATGCAGTTGCCAGCTCTTCACCTTTCTATATGTGCTGTTGTGAACTGCAGGTTTTATAGTAAACCAGGTACCCCCCCACACACTTTTTGTATTTTTGCTAGCTGTCCCAGTTACATGCCATGTTTACAAATCCCTGGCAGTGAACGGAAAAAGCAGTTGCTGACCTTGACCATGCCATTGTTTACATAGATTCTTAACTTCCCTGCAATGAAATGAGTCTAGACTCACTTGCAAAAAAGGAATAGAAAATAGCCATGTAGTCCTTACACAATTTAAAGGCAAGGGGATGTGACGAAAGGGTAGATGATAAGGATAATCACTCAATAAATCAAAGGGAAACCCTCTCCCACCCACACCCACAGTCTTGAAGCTCAGCCTTTTGACCAGAAGACAAGATGCTTTTCATGAAGTAGGGACAGATGAATCTCTTTTTCACAGTCCTTGAGTTAAACTCCTGTTGGTCAAATGTTTGGCTGTGGTCTGATGGGAAAATTTAATTTAGGACTGCACAGATATAAATGGCTGACCATTTCCATTGGTTGCAGGAGCCATTGGTTCTCTAAAAGAGTGAGGACACAACCCGGTTAGCCCAAGACATTTTGTTGCCTGTGGAAAAAGTCACATTCC